AAAAAAAAAAAAAAAACTTACCTGTGATGTTTTGAAGTTGCCCTTTTTTTCCGAATTAAATTGCTATTTTTTTCGGTTTTTTATGTTTGATTTGTATCAATAAAAAAAAACTTATCTTTTTGATGTGTTTTTTCGAATTAGTAGTGTGTTGTTAGTGCTGCTTGGGCCCTGGTTTTTTATGTGCGTCCATATTTTTTTTTTAATAAAAAGGGCAAAAATGTAAATTGGGGTGCGGTATTTAGCAAAAAGGGTGCGTATTTAGCAACACCCATCAATTAAACATTGCGGGAAGTAATAGTGTTGTTCGCCTTACTGCAAATTGCCCACGTGATCAGTACAAATGGCACCCTCATCCCTATATATATGTGTTCAGTTGCAGTGCGAAGGGGATACAGAGATAAGAAAAAAAAATTCTTGTAAAATGAATGAAGAGAAATTAAGATAAAAAGAAAGAAAAGTGAGATTTTTAGTCATTCTAATATATATGTGCTTAGTTCTTAACTCTGTTCCACTTCGTTGGAACTCGTAAGTCTGTTGTGTACAGATTTCGAGATGAATGTGTTGTATCTCTGGGGATGATACGCCTGAACCGTCAACACTACACATGGCATATTTGTCTATAAACTTTCCATTTTTTCAAGCTGTAATTTAATTTCAGTTCCATTACAATTTTTTTTATTTTTTGTGTTCAATTGTAATAACTGAAAAATATACTTCAGTTCGTAGGATTCTCATGTATTTCGACAGTCATTTTGTAACATATGATATATTAGATATTAAATAATAATAACGTCATATGGTATTAAATAAGAACTAAACAAAATAAGAATTTTAGACTCATTTAAGTTTTTATTTTACTTTAATATTTTTTTTTTATGACTGCATCGTATTGTTGAAGCACTATTTGTCTGTGATGTGCCTGTAAATTAGGCTCGGTTTCAAACTAGTCTTGTTATTAAGATTTCTGCTATATTGTGGCCTGTAAATTAGTCTCTGTCTCAAACTAGTCTTGTTATTGTGGTTATTTTATTTCTTATTAAGAATCCTTCACACTTTGTTTGAAAACAATGAAAATTACATAAAGGAAAAATAAAACTAAACCTATCAACTATTAAAACCTTGTCCAATTATTTAGAAAAGAAAATCAAATCAATTTTAAAACCATCTGCAACTTTTACAAGGAAAAAGCGGATGCAACTTTTTAAAATTTTAATACAGCGATTTTTTTGGATTCTTATATATTTTTCTTAACCATGTATGCCGAGATCTGGATAAGTTCATATCAATTTTTTTGTTAAATCAATATCATTTATTTTAGGTAATATACAGTTGCATAAATCTTAACAAATTATTCCAATTTTTTATTAGAAATAATTTCAATTCAATTTGTTTAGTAAAAAATCAGTGCAATGTTAGGACAATTCGGTTGCATTTTTAGAAAAACGTGATGATTCTTTTCACTTTGTTTTAACCAAATATTCAGATCAATTTGTTTGGTAAAAGAACTAGTATGAATCTCGTGCGATGTACGGGCAAAAATATTCTTTAATCTTTATAAACTAAAAATGTTCATTATTATAAATTAAAAATATAGAATCAATATATAATACAACTTACCTATATTAATTTGTTGAAAATGTTATATGAAATATAAATTGTGCAAAATTACATTAAATATGTCTATTAAAATTAGTACACGACCCGTACGGTGCAAATAACTAATAATAAATTATTTTATATTCATTTCGAAATAGGCGTCATTTTAAAATTTTTACACGAAAAGAATAATTAAAAATGATTACACGAAAAATATAAAACACTTATTAAATAATTAATTACACAATTTAGTTGGAAGATTTTTTCTAAATCACATAATTGATATTGCAGCCGAAATTCTCATATTTAGGTAAATCAGCTAAATTCTCATGATTTGAGTGATTAAGGTATCTTAGATAATTTTTTTATGGCTTATATCATTTCCTTAAATAATGAGCCACAATTTCCATAAGTGATTATTTGAAGTATACCATAAATTGTTAAATTAATTTCTTAAAATAGTAAATAGATTATTTTTTTAGGGAAATAGTTACTATTTAAAAAATAATCAAACCTTTTTACATATACTAGTACGAATCCCGTGCGATGCACGGGTAAGAGATATTCATTAAGATTTATAAATTAAAAACTTTCATTAAATACTATTTAATTAAAAACATGGAATCAATATGTAATACAATGTATCTATATTAATTTATTATAAATGTTATATAAAATTTAAATTGTGCAACTAAATAAATTTGCTCACTTTATATTATATATTGATTAGTTTATTTCCCATAGAAACAACCATCAATACCAAAAATAACTCCGTCCACTTTATGTCATATATTGATTAGTTCATATGATTTGAGTAATTAAGGTATTTTAAAATATGGTTTAATTACTTCATTAAATAATGAGCCTCAATTTCCATAAGTGATCATTTAACCACAAATTGTTAAATTAATTTCCAGAAATAGTAAATAGATTATTTTTGGAGGGAAATAGTTACTATTTAAAAAATAATCAAACCTTTTTATATGGATATAGATATTGTATTGATAGGAAAATTCGCCTTCATTTTTAAGAAAAACTAATGATTCTTTTCACTTTTTATTAATCAAAATTTTGAATTAGATTTAAAAAAATAAAATAAAATGGCGTGAAAATCTCTACTTTTTCTTTCCAACTAGAATTTTGTTTAATAAATAAGATCCCTTAAATTTCTTTAAAAATGTAATTTATAAACTAATAACTAATAATACAAAATTTTAGATAAAATTTGAACACCCATGTAATACTTTACGTGCCAAAAAATCAAATAATGTTGTACATATTGAAGTGTTCAATAATAGATAATTTAATTTTTGTGATATTCTTAATACCACGAGACAATTAAGATACAAAATAATTTTTTAACCAAACACTATCATAGAATTGTTTAAGATATCAAGCTCATTAACCAAACACTAAAATAGGATTATTTAAGATATGGAGCTCATTAAGTCTAACCAAACACTCCCGAAGGATCACGAATCGACCTTTTTCATATAAATATAAAATCATAGTTATCAAAATCGGGAACCGACCAGTTTACCGGTCCGATTCTATAGAAAAAACCGGCTGTCTCAAAAACTGGTCAAGAACCATGACCAGTCGAACTGGTCAAAACCGGCCAAAGAACTGGTCGGTTCAACCAGTTAAATATATTTTTTTTTTCTGTGGTTACCTATGTGAGACAAGATGGAAAAATTCTAAATTTTCAATTGTAAAGGTAAAGCCCGTGGAAAGAATTTCTTTTCTCTTTTACATGCGCGTGGAAAGAATTTCTTTTTCCATATTCCATATTTATTTCTGATTATTTTATTGCCCAATGTGGGAGTGTGATGAAATTTTTTTTTTTCCACATTTTTGTACTATTATTTTATTACTTAATCTATATATGGTGGGACCAACCTTTTAAAAAATAAGTCTAACTGTATTTAATATTTATAAAGTTATTATATATTTAAAATATCAATAAATTAAATAACTTAAAAGTTTAGTTAACTATATCTATGAAATATATATATTTAAAAATATTAATAAATTAAATAACAGTCCAACCGGTTCAACCTTTAGTCGGTCCAGTGAACCATTGAACCAGTAACTTGACCGGTTCGATGACCGGTCCGTTTTTGACAACCTTGTATAAAATACTTTCAGTGAGACATCAGCCCCGCAGCCCATTCCGTTTTAATCGCCGTTGTCTTCTTCACACTCACCCTTTCTATCTTGTTCGCACTCAACAGCAATCTTCAATTCAATCTCTGTCCATCGCTTGAGCTGTGCTTGTGCTTGTACCAAATGGCTTCTATAACGCACGTCTCACCATCCCAACTCCTTTCCAAGACAGGTGAATTTGGGGTTGTGAGAAATCCTCATGTGGCTCGCTTTGTGCGGCTGCCGCTATCCCTGAAGAAGACGCGGAGGATGACGGCGGTGGTCTCAGCCGTCACGGCCGGGGAGAAGGCCAAGAAGAGGTATCCCGGCGAGAGTAAGGGTTTTGTGGAGGAGATGAGGTTTGTGGCCATGAAACTCCACACGAAGGACCAGGCAAAGGAAGGGGAGAAGGAGCCTCAGGGAAAGCCGGTTGCTAAGTGGGAGCCTTCTGTTGAGGGTTACTTGAAGTTCTTGGTTGATAGCAAGTTGGTTTATGATACTCTTGAGAGGATTGTTGATACAGCTGCCTTCCCCGAATGTGAGCCCAACTTTATTTATTTATTTATTTATTTTGATGTCTTGAAAATCTTGAATTTCTAGTCAAATTCCGAATTAGCGCCAAATTATGCAACTTTTTTTTTTTTTTTNGTTTAGTCTCTTAATGTGGTTTTGAGTGTAGTCTGTTGTGTTGGAGTTATTTATTGAGATTCATAAGTATATCAGAAGAGAAGGTGCGAATGAGCTTCAATTAATATTGGTTTTGGATGGTGCAGATGCTGAATTTAGGAACACGGGGCTAGAGAGATCAGAAAGTCTTGCAAAAGATCTTGAATGGTTTAAGCAGCAGGGACATACAATTCCAGAACCATCTTCTCCTGGAATTAGATACAGTCAGTACCTCGAGGAGCTGTCTCAGAAAGATTCTCAAGGGTTCATATGCCATTTCTACAATACGTATTTTGCCCACACGGCTGGTGGCAGGATGATAGGGAAGAAGGTGAGTGTTGACATTCTTGATTATATGCTTTGTTCGGCCTGCTCTAGGTTGCTCTACCTCAAAAAATTGTGTCGTGTCATAATTTTTAAGTAGAGGTACTCAGATGAAAATGTCTGGTAGCATTGGATACAAAAGTTAGTTGAAAGCATGAAAATTGTATAAATAGAGAAAAACAAAAATGATAAGGGCTGTATTAGTGCATATTACCATAGTTCGGACAATTGACACATGCATAAGTTTATTTGCAGTTTGAAGGAAACATTAATCATGGTAATCAGAAAATCGGTTTAGCCGAGTCGCATTAATATTATAAAAGCTTGAATTTGGATATCTCAATGATTTAAGCACACCCTACAACAATTAAATCCAAGTTTGGGTTTTACTCCAAACCCCTACAAATGCATTGTCCTTTGTCAAATCCCTACTATGACTTTGATTGCCCAAGTTTGGGGTTTACTCCAAACCCCTACAAATGGGGTGTATCAAATCCATTGTCCTTTGCTTTCATATAATACCCTTTGTCATTTCTTTATTATTATTCAGCACACCCTTAGACTGCGTCTTACACCGAAAACATAAAAAAATGTTAAACCTCAAAGTTAAAACGTTGATTCTCTCATTGAATAAGCTCCAATATCTATACACATGGAAGTAAGTATTACATTTTTCTCGTGAGAAGGAAGGGAGAGTAGAATTGTTGAATTTTAAACCCATCTTCATTGTATAAGCAAATTGATTTTTACAGGAACCGTTAGGAAAAAAAGAGTTTCTTTATAGTGAAAATTATTGCCTGTACATTTGATAAAGAAAAAACTGTCTTTGTTATTGGAAAATGTAACCGTATGGTCCTATTTTCTGGTTGTTTCACAACAACAACAACAACAACAACAACAACAACATAGCCTTTAGTCCCAAGCAAGTCGGGGTAGGCTAGAGATGAAACCCAAGAGAAACACAAAAGGACTCGAACCAAAAGGAAGAGATCGAAAAAAAAAGAGAGAGAGAGAGAGAAAGGAGCAAAAGTCACGGTTCTGGCACGTTGATAGCGAGCCTCCAAGCGCTCCTATCCACCGGTAAATCCTTGGATATATTCCAATCTTTAAGGTCTCTCTTAACCGACTCTTCCCAAGTGAGTTTAGGCCGACCTCTACCTCTCTTAACATCCTCGACCCGCTGTAGAACTCCCCTACGCACCGGTGCATCAGGAGGCCTCCGTTGGACATGTCCGAACCACCTCAGCCGATGTTGAACCAATTTCTCCTCAATTGGGGCCACCCCGACCCTATCTCGAATATCCTCATTCCGGATTCTATCCCTTCTTGTGTGCCCACAGAACCAACGCAACATACGCATCTCTGCTACACTTAGTTGTTGGACATGTTGCCTTTTTGTAGGCCAACATTCAGCACCGTATAGCATCGCCGGGCGAATCGCCGTCCTATAGAACTTACCTTTTAGCCTTTGAGGCACCCTTTTATAACAGAGAACGCCTGACGCCTGACGCCATTTCAACCAACCGGCTGCAATTCTATGCCTAACATCAGCATCAATGCCGCCATCCTTTTGTAGCATCGATCCCAAATACCGGAAAATCTCCTTCTTGGCCACCACTTGCCCGTCAAGGGTAACGTCACCATCATCATGTGAAGTCATGCTGAAAGCGCACGTCATGTACTCGGTCTTCGTCCTACTAAGTCTAAGCCTTTCGACTCTAACGCGTCATTCCACAGCTCCAACTTCCTATTTACCCCTGCTCTACTCTCGTCAACTAGCACCACATCATCAGCAAAGAGCATACACCAAGGGATATCACCTTGTATGTCCCTTGTGACCTCATCCATCACCAAGGCAAATATATAAGGGCTCAATGCTGACCCCTGGTGTAGTCCTATTTTAATTGGGAAGTCGTTGGTGTCGCCCCCACATGTTCGGACACACGTCATCGCATCCTTGGTGTATGTGAGAAATGCTTTCCTAATTTTTATTAAAAAATTGGTTGAAATGCTTTTATGTGAGAAATGACATTATGTTTGGATAAATTGTTAGTATGATCTTGTATATAGGTTTCAAAATGACAACATATCTAGAGATACATTTAAAATTATTCATGATATTTGTCATACCTAAATGCTTAATTATAAAACTAAAGCATTCGGTGAATACTAATATACTCCTTTTTATTATGTCATAGAAAAGGACTTAAGGATTTCAATTTTTTTTCCTCTCTGTGTAATTTGAACTACTATTTTTTTTAAAAAAATTGTTACTGAGAAGAAAAAATGCAACTGCACTTGGTTGCCTTACTTTTTCCATAGAAGTAAAACGAACACAAAAATCAGGTTTATTGTGGCAATTGATACTCGTCTCTTCTCAGGTAGCCGAGAAGATCCTTAATGGCAAGGAATTGGAGTTCTACAAATGGGACAGTGACGTGTCTCAACTATTGCAGAATGTTCGGGACAAACTCAATATTGTTGCTGAAGTAAGAAAACTGAAAACCAGTGCCCCTTTTACACTTGCAGTTAATAATTTTTGTTGTTGCAGAAAAATATTGTGATATCTAACAGACTATTTTATATATATATATATATATTTTTCCAATTTTGGTGTTACATAGAGCTGGACTAGAGAGGAGAAGGATCGTTGCCTTGAAGAAACTGAGAAATCATTCGAGTTTTCGGGTGATATTCTCCGTCTCATGTTGTCCTGATGCCATAGTACTGTACTTTAAGCATTTGTAATTTGAGGTTGCAATTTGTAACCACTGTTCATAGTCCAGACCAGTGACCTCATTATCAATTGTTGTGCCAAGATTTTGCTTGTGTACGATTTATATTATATTATTCCAGTAAAGTGCGCGTGCAATGCACGTGGTTATAAATTCTGTTGCCGATTACTTTTCTAGTAAGAAAAAATTATTGGCTTAGTAAACATGTTATTGTAGGAATGAAATAAAATGAATACTAAGATGAGTCGCTATTGTAAATTAAAATAAAATTTATAATGAGGTTTTAATATATCATCTATATATAATTCTCAAATGTGTTGAGTTTAAGTGGCATACGTTTCGGGATCTTAGTTGGACATGTGTAGACCTTCTTTGTACACTTTGAAAAAAAAAAAAAATACTATGAACAGAACGTTTAAATAATGAGATAAAAAGGTGAAATAATGCCGAAGAACAAAATTGCAGAAACTTAACAAAGATAAGTGAGAAAATAGTAAATTGTCCAAATCACCATACAATACAAGCCGCACCTATGAACGCAGTGAAGGCAGTCAATAGTTCATACATACACCAAGCGCTAAAACATAGTTGTTGCACATTCACATTTACAATCACAAAAATATCTGCTTTATCCTACGTTGGGGCTTGGTGGAAATTCGGTGTATTTGAAAACTTTTCCGTAGAACTCTTACAGAATCAGAATTGTTTAGACTGTTGCATCATGTACTGCAAGAATTCAATCCACTTTACTGTTGTCTTCAGCTTTACAGTTGATCCTTCGGGCTCTACAGACAAGCAAATAATAAAAACACAAGAAGCATTGTTCACTTGCATCACATATGTTTTAGTTTGGTTCTGTTTGAGAACATAACAAGAACAAGGTAAGTTTCAGATAAAAGAAATGGGAAACAAGTAACTAAAAAAGTGTGGTTGAGTTTATGAGACCTCAATACTGTGTCAGGTCCTTCCTTTGTAGCTATTTAATCTCCATTGCCCCCACCATCATTTCCCAACTCGACTGTGGTCGAGTTTATGAGCCACTGCAATAAGCAAGAAAAGTGTTTGAAGAGAATTTAATTTGATTAGTGCAAACAATTTCTTCAGTCGTACCTATAAATAGGTTTCTTCATATATCCTACTAATCTCCCCCACTCTGAATAAAACTGGTTTAATTATGCCCTTTATGTGACCCAATAAAGTAAATGCCAATCCAACAGATTAGCAGTTCAATGGCCCACAAGGTAACTTAGTTTTCTTGAGTCAAAAAAAGGAAAATCATGGAAAACTATTGCTTCCTCTAAGTTCATGGGTTTCTTTATAAGAGAAAAATGACTGAGATGTTGTCATATGTTTTGTGACTGAGATAGCTGACTGAATCCAAACCTCTTAACAACTAACATAGTTGCATTAATAAATTTAATTCGGATTGTTATCAATGTTTAAACTTGGTACCTTCGTTATCATCCTTATTTGGTTTGTATTAACACTTTTTCGCGGCCAATTTAGTAATTTGAAATTTATTAGACAAGGTTTGTACGACTTGATATTTCAGCCGCCAAACTCATAATCACAGGACTAAGTTTGTGTTCTAGATACGTATTTGGATTTGTTGTTATTATTTTAATTATCAAGATACTTCACTACTTAGCGTCACGCCCCGTCCAATCTGGTGTGGGGGTGTGACAGAGTAGTATCAGAGTTTGGTCGTAAAAAGGACACTTACAACGAGTGAGCCCAGTATCTTTGGCCTGTATTGGGTTACCCTGTATTTACTCATCTTTAATTACAATTTTATATGCGTTTATCTTGATTTTTTCCATAATTAGATAAGTACTATGATTAATATGTTGACCCTGAATGATTTCAATTTTACAAGGGTCATATGAGCATTACATAGACATTTTCCTTTCTACATATTTTTTTACAATGACTTGTTTAATCATCGCACTTTTGATCCACTCATCCAAGTTTTCTATTCTAAGGTAGATAGGAATAAATTTTTACAAAGACTTTTGGAACATCTATAACCTCCATTGGTATCACAAAAAAAGGGAAAACCTTTTGTTGATCAGTTGAAGATAAATATTCTTACTTAGCACAAACACAATCGAATCAAAGATGACGTTGTAAACTAGACAGTAGTATTTCACAAGAAATTATAGTCGAGTTGCCAGCAGACAGGCAAAAAAGAGTTTACACAGATTCTTCATACACTAACCTGGAGTTCTTGTTCCGATCTTTTGAATCTCTCATCATAATCTTGAATTTGCTGATAAATTTTATGCATCTGCACCAGTGAAAGTAAGTAAGAGAACTGTCAGATTTGACATTTTCGACTTGGAATCAAAATAGCACTTAAAATACATCACATTACCTTGGCTAATTGTAAATGACGGCATGAAGTAAGTTTTCTGGCTGAAAGTAGTGAATCTTCCAACTTCTAAAGTCACAAATTGTTATTAGAAATGGATAACACTGAAATTACACTGAAAAAACTCCAATTACCTGATTCAGTGAATCACTAAAGAAAGAAATATTCACCTGGCACTTTTCCTGTAATTTGGAAACAACTTCCTGCTTGTCTGCTATCAATTCTTCCATCTGAGATATCTGCTCAGCAAGTTGGAAAATATGTCATATCAATCGACCTGAATTGTGAGCTACAGTTTATAAGAACAAGAACAGATATACCCATCAGCTAAATGTCTCAGAGTTCTTTGATGAGTTTCTCTTACTAAGGGCTGATAGATAAACTAGACAAACAAATGTGCAGCTAAGAAATGAATTAATAAATAAGTTCATAAATCAAAACCATCAGCTAAACGTCTCAGAGTTCTTTGATGAAATTCTCTTACTAAGGGCTGATAGATAAACTAGACAAACAAATGTGCAGCTAAGAAATTAATTAATAAATAAGTTCATAAATCAAAACAGCTTCTTCACACACATAGAAATTCTCAGACAACAAATGGCAATCAAGTTTCTCAAGTACAGCAACTACAGATATTATGTCTTCGGTCTTCCTAAAAAATCAATTGAGAATCGCCTGTTGTAGTTAAATGATAGTTATCAATTATTCATGTTAGAAAAACCTTTTACAAATGTGGAATAACAATACGAATCTGGACTAACTTTTAGGCTTACAAATAGTCGAATAAAGTATTCCAAAGCAAGTGAGAACAAATTTGCATATAACCCAGTCCGATTCACCTCATGCTGTCAGGTAATATTTGCATAGGCATTCATAGGCAAATGTTACAAAAGCTAGGTTCAAAAAATGCAAGTAACAGACAACAAGAGGATTGGGATGCAAGAATGCAACTTATTTACAAAGATTGCTGATGGATTGACTTAATACTGGTAATGGCTTAACTTGATTTCCTTCCTTTAGTTTAGTAAAAACCATTTGCTACGATCTATTTCCTTGTTAGAAATTGTAATCCCCTACCACAGTAAGGGATTTCAGCACACAAAATAAAGTAACCAGAATTAGAATATTTGTTTAAGAGGAGCGCCACATAATTGATAATTCAAACCAATTTGTGGTCGTTTATATTTCACGTTTTATTCATACATTTTAGCAGTTTCTTATTTATTGTCATAAGCAGACCAACTGCTCACTCCCAGCATCTCCATCACCCATAGATATAGGTCATTACTTGTAAACATAACAGTCTCCTCCAATTCTAATCAATATATCTTTTTAACAAACTCCTCCGATATTTCAAGATCGAGTTACAGCATCATCAAAATCATAATAATCATTTTGTCCAGTTTTAATTGTAGAAATACAAACTATACCTCCTGACGAAGTCCTTCAAGCTTTCGATTTGAAATCGCTAGATTACTTTTACCCTGTAAGTGAGAAAATTGATCATTCATGATATTGTGATACAGAGCCACACATGTAAACATATAATTTATAAGAGATCGAGACTCCAACCTGATCCTCATCATCATTGAATGACTCCAAAGACAGCTCTCGGATACCATGATCGTCAAATCTAGACCTGCTTAGGCATCGTGATTCATTTAGACATCAGCTCCTCCATAAAAAAAAAAAAAAAAGAAAAAGAAAAACCACAAACTATAACATGCCAATACAGCAGTCTGAAGTTTCATAAGTCTGTACAGCAGCACAAAAATTCTGAAACTTATTTCAACCTTTTGAAGGGCCAGTCGTGTAGGGCGACCACAACTAGCAAGCTTTTCAATGAAACAAATAGTTCTTGTCTACTTGAACAGGCCAGTCAATATTTGCATGATTTGACTGTCCAAGTCAAATTTCAAGAAAGAGATGAGTAGCGTGAACCTATTACTCGAAGCCGTACGTAAAAATACTGTCATTCTTGAAGAAAACTGATTCACAAGACTCCCATGAACAAACTACACAATTTAATCAATTTAAGCACCTTGGATGTAGATTAAATGCAACAAAAATGCAATAAACTCTTAGGTTCAAACAAGTCAATTAAGATTTTGGACTAGGTACCACGTACCGCAATGCAGTAAACTCAGTGTTATTAACGGCGTATGGTGGTAAATAGCGGCAAGCCAACTGCCGCCATTACCGCCACACTTCACAAATTTAGTATGGCGGTTTGTCAAAAAACAGCCACATCGTACCGCCACCATGGCGCCGCCATTTGATAACACTAATAAACTTCATTCTCTCTTTAATATTTTCTTCTTCCCCTAATTCCCTTCTCACAGTGTTTAATTACTTTTTTCCTTTTTTCCCCTCTTTTCTCCTCCATTCTTTCTCATGTTAATTCACCTTTTTTCTTGTAATTTTTTTCATTCCCGTATGAAATTTGACAACGATCCCAAAATTTTCATTTTTCATATCCTACTCATTTTGTCATTCAACTCTACGCCATATTATGAGGATGATTTTTCTGATCTACTAAAGAAAATTTCCTTAAGATTGTGTGAATTTCCATTTTTTCCTTTTATAGCAATGCATAAAAGAACCGACAACCGAAGCAGGGATATGGACCATTTTCCTCTTTTATTTTAAGGAACACTAATGTATAATCATATAGTTGTACTGGGATGCCAAACATGACTAACATAAAGACCTAATGCAATCATCCGAATTCAGATAAATGCTGAATGCAGATGTAAAAATAAATTGTCCGGGACATAGGAGTATCTATTTTCTTCAAGCAAAATTCTGCACAAGCATATTTTGTGGCTAAAAAAATTTAGAACTTGAGTTTCAAAGATATGGGAACCACTATAGGAAATTATGAAGTAAAAAACAGAAACAATTGCACCCATCAATGCTTATTGTTGACAAGTACAAAGCCAAAAGAGTAATACCTTTTCCGAAAGGGGAGTTGCTGGTGTTTAAATTCGCCCCTACTTCTATGATCATTGGTGCTCCTCTGTTCCTCAATCTTCTCATCAGTGTCCTTTTCAGTATGAAGCTCATGCTTTCTCCCATGCTCCTGCTCAGCATCATCCATGTGTCGGCTAGAAACCCGAAATCGCTTTTCATCTATATATAGATCCCTTTTACGATCATGACTTCTCTCCTTGTTTCGGTCTTGTTCTTGAGATCTCTCCCAATGTTCTTCCAGATGACGTTTCCTATCATGACTACCAACTCTTCCTGGATCTCTACCTCTATCACCATCAGTACTCCTGTCAGTATCATGTCGAGAACGCTCATGGTTAAAGTTTGCTCTCCCACCTCTAGTCTTCACTTCATTCACTTTGACAACTCTTCCATCAATGGTCTGAATTATAGATGAATTACATCAATATTTTTGAACTAGAGAGACAGAGGAAGAGGGAGAGAGAGAGAGAGAGAGAGATCACCTTGCCATCCATTTCCTTCATGGCTTGCATTGCTGATCTAGGATTAGCAAAAGTAACAAATCCGTAGCATCTTCCCCCAGTGGCTCGGTCATTGATTATCTGAAAATGAGAATATGAGATATTAATTCACTTCACTATACCTTTCAAAATTCAAAGTATGATATTAAATCCTGGGAGATTAGGACAATGCAAGTGAAAGAAAATGTTCCAAAAGTTCAGTGAATTAAGAAAGAAGCTATTTGAGATAAACAAAATTACATTCTCACTAGCAAGAGGTAACAAAATAGATGCAAGACTAAAAGTGTCAGAAAAAGTTAACTTTCAGAAGACTGCTAGTACAACAGGCTCCAGAATACTCCATAGATACATAATTTCACCGATGTTTATGTGAAGTTAGAGGCTATTTTGATATTTAGCTTTGTCTTTAAGTTCATGATTATAGGGATTTGAAAATCCTTGTCTAAAAACAGAGGTAGTGTCTTTAGGGGTCAACCTATGTTTCTCATAATTTTAAGATGCTAAGATATTTCAAATGCCAAATAAAGCCCTTTACCTACAATCCTCTTAGAAGCCCATTAGGTCTCATAACGCTTTTAAATAGATAAAAGATGCTCGATACGAATCCTGACAATTTCTGCTACTTCAGTTTTCTTGTTCTACTCTACATAATAATTCTTGAAATCTAATCATTGACAGCATCAAGAGCTCTCATGAAAACTGCATGAAGAACGTTTCAGATAAAAAAACTAATCTTCTCAATACGTGATTGGACAGCATGGATAAGATATGATGACAGATGAATTAACAAAAATTTACAGATCTGTTATATACTCATATCAGACTAAAACAAGTAAAGTTGCAGTTTAGTTTTCAGCATGTAAGCAGCTCAAGAAAATGGGCATATTCAATGCATTCTGAAGTAATAACGATATTGCACCAGGAATCTAATTATCTTTAGGGTTTTTACTTGCTATAGCTAGTCAGTAAATAGAATTTGAACGTTTCAGTGTCAGCATAAGCTAAAGATCAACCTTCATATAATAAAATAAAATAAAATTTGGCATTCAGGAAAACCATAGATTCAGCAGTAACTGCCTGGTACAACCTAGTCACTCTCAGAACATCCTTTTTCTATACACCGTGAAAAGCGAAGTTTCAAAACTACATCTAAGAAGTGTGCAGTATCATATTAGGGGGTGGAGTTACCATGAGTTTACTATCATTTCACTTAAGAAATAATAATCATCAGATTTTAGTAGTATAATACCAGTAGTGGGAATAGCAACAGTAGTATCGCTATTTTACTGAAAGACACCTTATCGAGTCACCTAGAGACCAAATACACTGGTCTTCATAATTTTATGTACTAAATTTCTTCGAAAGCACGCAATTTGATATTCATTCAAACCCAAAATTCAGCTAATCCACTTCCGCATTACATAGCCAAGAAAACAGCAGGCCCTCACAGTTATCAATGTTGATAACTATAAATGTCATAATAATCAAAGTTAACACATATTTAACACATAAATATGTGAAACTGAAGATGGCCATGGAGTAATTACTAATTACCTAGATCTCTCTCAGCAATCAAATATAAACTTCCCTCGATCTTTCTTTTTATTTTACAGAAGAGGAAAAGAAAAGAAGATCCCAGAGCATATCTCGACTTCCTTAATTTTCCAATAGGGCCAAAACTTCCCCACTTCCAATAGTACATCTTACTCAGAAGAGCTACTCATATGTACATTGAAATACATATATTGTTATCATATGGAGGAAAAGATAACAAAAACATACTTAGACGTCCATGTCGAACACAAAGTGGCAAACATACTTAGACGTCCATGTCGAACACAAAGTGGCTACGCCCATGCAATCAATAGTTGCACACCACTGTTTCAGTCTCAAACGCACTACAATACAAAGCCTCAATAAACCAAGCTATCATTCTGTGGCTGAAACTATATAAGAATATTGCACAACTAGCAGAGTAAAAATTCAGAAAATAGTCCGACTAAGAGTACAATTTAACAGCAATGGAAAAGACGAACTATATCAAGGTAAGTGAATAAATAGAGTAAAAAACATGAAGAGGAAATCCGAAAGGGCAAAATAAAAAGAAGAGGAAAAGACCAATATCAAACAGAATGTCTACGTAAATGTTCGAATAAAAATAGATCTCGCGACAATTTGCAATTGGAAAAGGATTGCCACGAAACTATCATTTCACAGGACAGGAGTAAGCTCAAAAGCCGCAGAGACAGAAGGAGACCTTGACGGCTAGAATGGCGCCATACATGTAGAACTCTCTGCGAATGACCTCCTCGGTGATGTCGTACGGAAGATTACCCACGTAGATGGAGGTATTGGCGTCGATTGTCATTTCTTCCAGTGAATTTCCTCCCCAAAAGGTTGGGTCTGAAACCGCACTCACTCTCCAACCGGGGCTGGTTAAGGTTTAATCAGTTTTTTATAATCTGTAATAATAAATAAACATTTTAATATTATTTAATATTTATTATTCTATTTATTAACTATTAGCGACATTTTTTTAGTGTTTTCTTATCTATAAATCCCCCTATATATTAATTGAGAACGTGTTGAGCCTACGTGGCAGGCCCGCATGCTTCGGGATCCTATGTGGCAAAAATACATGCTTCGTTATTAGGTTTGGGTAGATTTAGTTTACTTCTAATCCAAATATATTTAGGTTCAGATTATCTATAATATGTTGATTAGGGGTGGGCGCCGGCCGGGACGGTGCTGGATTTGACTTGTCCGGATACCCATCCCACTTTTATGAATACGTCCATGAACGGTCCGGAATGAGGCACCGTCCCTACTCATGTAATACATGGGTGTTGTACTAGTCTCTCTTATTCTTATAAGAAAAAATAAGAGGCATTGTGTGCTTAACACGTGGCCACTTCTTTCTTTGTGGTGTTCAATTGTATGGCTTCCACGCGGCATTTTTTGGGCATAGATAATTTTTCACTCTTGCTTTCTTTTTTTTTTCGAGACTCGGAAGCTGCATTTAATTTTCTCTACAAATAATCTGCGTATCAAAACGACACCGTTTTGCGTAGTTATTTTGCTGTGAATTCGCCTAAATGACCCTGCTTTAATTGCCTTTTGGGGGTTCGAATCGTAAATGCACCACCTAAATATATGTTATGCAGTCCTACGTACATAGCGATGTGACATCCCCATTAAGAACAACTGACGTCGTTGAGGGCTGTCACACACTTAATTCTTAAGCATTAAGCAACAGATTTTTTCTATTCTCTCACACGCCATTCCACCTCCTCAGACTGTCAGCTTTAAGTCTTCAGCCTCCTCAACACCCCTTCTCTCATGGTTGAGTTCCGATACAAAATCTCTCGATAATCCTCCTTCCTCCCATCATTCGCAGTAAACCCACCTCCAATCCTCTCAAAACTGCCGCCGCCGAAAGTCCTCTGTTCCCTCAAACTCGACCCGTAGTCTCTACTCTTCGACAAGCCAAAACCTAGACACAAAGACCCTAAGAATCCGTTGTCCGACGACAACGCACGACGCATATTCAAGGCCAAAGCCCAGTACTTGGCGTCCTGAAGCGGAACAAGAGCTCGCGCGTGCAGACACCCAAATGGATCAAGCGCATGCCCAAGAAAATAGTGTAGTACCTGGAGGACAAGAGGAACGAGCACCTGAGTGGACGGGACGTGGTGGCGGCGATTAAGCACGTGAGGGGGAGTGTGGCATGAAGTGTCATGGATTCATTTGTGCAGAAGCTTAGTTTCAGAGAGATGTGTGTGCAGTGTGGTGTTGAAGAAGCAGAAAAGTTGGCACCAAGTTAGGGACTTTTTGTCTGGATGAAATTGCAGGTTGCTTTCTGTTTTAGTCTTTTTTTTTTTTTTTTAAATTTGTTGGGACTTATATTGAGTCTTATTTTACCAATTCTTAAATGATATGATGTTTAGTCTCTCGTAGAAGCTTGTTTTTGTTGTTGAATCATGACTCTATTGATATGCTTGTATTGCGAACCAAATGATGCGGAAAAGGGGGATAGTGAAAAATAGAAAAAGAACCAGCACATTTTAGCTCAGGTTTAAGGAATGGGATTATAGTTTGTCTCACTTGTTTGTTTGATGGTGAGGAAGTTTGTGGTTACTTGAGTGTTTCAGTTCATTGTAAGGGTTGAAAGGCTTGGTAGAATGTGATTCACAAATTATAACATCATAACAATAAACCAAAATACCTTGTGTTTAGTCTTTTCTTTCTCAAACTTGGTTGGGTTATTCATTAAATAGGTGAAATTTTTATTTTGATCCAATCTAGATAAGTTTTTGATCGTCTGACTTAGCACTGTGTAGCAGACAGTGGTCCTCCTGAAGCTACTCCCATCAATTGCAAGAACACCCACGAGAACTCTACCAGATCCTTCACCCATGGCTCACGAGGTAGAACAAGAAGCTGACAGTCCCTCACGTGAGATCCAGAACGCCTTGATACTGGTGTTGCCTGGGGAGTTGACCAAGTCGACTGAAACTGGGGGGTCTAATAACACTGAAGATGATATTATGAGGTGAGAGTTTTGTAGCATCTGTTTGTTGTTGTTTTTGAGAAAGGATCGAATGGATTCCGAATTTACTCTATTCCTATGATATATCAACTTTAAGGCACTTGGCTTAAAAAGTTTTGATAGTTTGATCACTCTTTATGCTCTTCTCTATAAAGTGCGTATTTTAGATAATCCATATCATAGTATCATGTTCTCACATAAATGATGCTCCACGTACTTCCACTTGATTCACAGCTTCAATATCTAATTTTAAGAACATACATGTCTGAAAGTAGTTACCTTCTTCTAAAGTGTCACAAACTTCTTTTGTTATCACGTTCAGTGCCTCGAGGTGAATAACTAGATTATAAGACTTTTCTCATCACTTATTACAATATGTTGGGCCGAAAGCCTCAGGATGTTAAAGAAAATATCTACTCGAGGGAAGAACTCTACTGCGTGGGTTTGCGATGCAGCTGGAGGATGATCACAAGGTAAGCATTGACTGGCATTTAAATTCCAGCAGGAGGATCACATGTTTAGGAGGTGACAAATATGACTCAGATGCTCTCTTTTAACATTGTTTTGTATATTTTATTTTATTTCTCTCACTCTCTGTCTCTCTCTGTTTTCCTATTTTTCACGGTGCTTTGTAGTTTGGTAAACCCAGAATTTAGCTTCTTGATCAAAGGGTTGTATCCAGCGGTGATTTTTATCCTTTTCTTTCAAGATGATCCATTGTTTATGCTTTTTTCTGTTCGTGATTATTATTTACCTTCATTTCTATGCTAGAAGCTTCTCATGATCTTTGGTTATGCTGGAAAGAAAAAAGATACTTGGGTTTTTTTATGTCTTTTGTATTATCAGTTGATCTTTTGAGTTTTGTAGTTGGTTAGATTTGCTTGATAGCAATGGTGATTGTTTCTTTCCTGTTTTAACATATCACTTTCCAGATTATTACAGACTATTTGTTAAAGCTCTGGGCATGATACTGTCGTTAAAAAAAAAAAAAAATCCTACCACGTGTATACGTTGATGTGTATAAGTTGTTCTAATATTGTTTCTTCTTTCTCTTTTTAGATCAACAACATATATAGGATTGGGGATATGTAGTTAACGTGTAGGTATATACATGGTCCTTTTCTTATTACGAATTGTGGAGATTGTGGAGTGATTCAAATGACAACAAAATGTGTTTTCATTAATCATATTTATGTTTTATTTTATTTTTTTAGAATTTTTTCACATGATGGAAACTATTTTTTAAGATATTTTCACATCTCTATAAAATAATATTTAGTTTTATTTTCTGTTAATAAACAGTCACATTGAAGATTTTACTTTCTTATTTGTGCATGTAATGTGATTCTTATGTTTGTTCCGTCTCTCAAAAGGTGGAAACTTTTTTAGTTTCTGTCAATTTGGTGAGCTTTGGGCAATGCTTTTTGCGTATTTTATGTTATATGTTATTTCTTTTGTGTGCCTTAGGCATTGATGTTGCTTTTCATTTTTTTCTCGCCTCTAGGACGATAGAAGAGTATTATTTTCCTTTTCTACTCGGTCAAGTATTAACTGGATAATCATAAACTTGATAGAATAGATAAACGTCTTTACAAGCTCAGTTTCTGGTTTAAAGCTTTGGGTACTTATAGTTAATTCATTATCCGATCTTAAATTGTCTTCATTTAGAAACATTTCTATTGGGAATAATTTTTCGGGGTTACTCGAAGCGGATTTATGAGCATGTCCTGTAAAAATTTGATCTCTCTTTCACTCGGATAATATCTGTAACCCAAGTTGATGGTATGCGTTTATTGATTTTGTTGTTTTTGGCCTACATGGTGGACGAGACATTGTAATATTTTCTATGTAATTGATGCATTTGCGTTGAATATTTTGTGAAATTAAACTTTTGGATTGTGAATATATACAGGTAGTAACTACACAACGAATGGAGAATGAATGGAGAGGGTATATGGTACCTATCGATCTGTAGAAAAACTTTTATGGCTTGGGTTCGACATTTTCTCTTTTGTTTGCTTATTAAGTTCGCATGATCATTGTTGTTGATTAAATGTTTTTCTAATATATACATTATAAATAATAAAAAATATTGTTTCCCCTGGATGTGTTATATATTATTATTTGTTTTACTGTTGCTATTCACAAGATAAAATACATTGTCACCCCTTAAAATTTGAAAGAGTTATTGGTTACTTATGTGAAACCAAAAAATGAACATGGAGACTTTGAAACCTGAGGCAGATTACTGAATAATCTGAAATGGTGGCAGATAGCAAACTTCCTTCTGAATAATTTTAATTTTTGTTTTGTTTTTCTTTTTTTTTCCGTTTTATGTTCTCTCAATCTTGATGAAATTCTGTCAATTTTTAATATATCTTTTACTTTGTAATTTTAATATGTGTTTGGCCTGTTCTGGATTTGTTTGGGATTTTTGAGATTACACAAAAGGGTGGTGGGGTGGCAGCTACAACTTTTGGTCTTGTTTGTTTAGAGCTTGCAAAGGTTAGCAAAGTAAGTCCATTCCATTTGTCCGACTAAAGTTGGCACCTTTTAAGCTATCACGTTGCGAGTGTTAGAGTTCTTTTTTATGCTTAGCTTATTCTGATGATCCTGAAGAGTTTCAAATAATTACGGGGATCATAAAAGACCGTCCATGTTTATTTCATGAATGATGAAGCCTTGAGATCTTCACTGTGTTTTCTGGTGCAAATGGAGAAACAGTTGAACTCTTGTACACGCATTTATTGTTTTTCAAATATAGTTTCTTCAGTTTAGAGAGAAATTATTAATTTCTAATTTCAAATGTATGCACCGAATACACAACAACCTTTGAAAACAGTAATCTTGTGGTATGCAACAATGTGTAATGTTGGAAATCGCCTTTCTCTATTGTGGTAATGATGTTTCTCTTCAAAAAGGTGGAAAATCATTGCCCTCTAAGTACTTATCGTTGGGCTCGATGGTTTAGGCCGTATATTCATGTGTTGAGTGTGAGGTATAAATTGTGAAAGAATTATAGCCCTTGATGTTTTGAGTTGTGTGGAAGTTGTAGTCCCCATCGCCAGTTTAACGTGCTAATTTTGGAAACCTCTCTCATTATTACACCAGTATATTATTGTAAGTTGTCTTTGTGACATTTCTTTTCTGCTACGTGCATCTCATCCTGATAATTCAATTTCGATTCTTTTACGTGCTTGTTTGTAGATCTATGGCATAAGTTGTTTAGCTCACCAACCTCCCAAAAGTTATTCATCTCTTGATGCTTTTTATAGGCAATGCATGGGGAGAGCTTGATAGTAGGCTACATGATGAAGCTCCCGAGAAGAGGATTTTTCAAAGGCACCAAATATTATTTTGCCTGTTTCATGATATTATCCCATAAGTCACAACTCCAATGCCTTCAGACATTTAATAGTGAAACTTGACTTATTTTCGGTACTAGCTGCATTCAATCTAAGTAAGTTATATTATTGTTATGACATCCACTTTCATCATCATGTTGCTTAAACAAGAGATTATAGCCTCAAATAGTAACATGAATAGCAAGGTGACTCTAATGGTCAGAGCCATTTAACATTCAGAGTGGCAAAAATTGCAGGTGGTTTACTGTGTATCCAATTGCCTGAAGTAATGCATTAGACTTTGCTCTCTGCACCCATCTGTTATCTTTAATTGGTAGTGTTGTACTTGGCTTCTATTTTTAATTTTTATCTTCAAACAAACACTTTTCTATAAATTGATGAATTTTAGCTGCATTACGAAAAATATACAATTTCCTCACATAAAATGTATAATTCTTTTGTTTAATAATGTCAAATATAATCTGCAAATTATCATTCATTAACTTTTACCTTCTTACTATTGTGTAGCGTTTTTTTTTATTGTGTGAATATATTTTAATCTTAGTACTTAAAATTTCAATTATTTTTTATATCTTTTTTTGATACGGATTGACTAATTTTACATATTTATAGTGTGCAAAGTTTTCGCTACATTATTGATTGAATTGGGGTCGGCTGTGCGTGCACAGCCGAGTTCCAACTAGTATTCTCTTATGTATAAAAAAGAACCCCTACCTTCATTTTGACACGTGTCCAGTCTTTTCTCATTAAGCCACGTCGTCCACCTCAAAACGGCATCGTTTAGTTAGGGCAAAATGGTGTCGTTTTGTAGCTTTCCTTTCTTTTACAATACGGCTTGCGTGTTCTGCTCCTCTGCAGAAAAACGTTCCCCAATTATTTTTGCCTTCAAATTTAAATATATCAATAATATTTCCTATGCAATTTCTTGTTTTTTTTTTTTAAATTCCCGTCCCGCTTGAAACAACCTCCAAAACTCAGCCCGTCGTTCGTACTTACTATGTAAAAATTCGATTTTTTTTAACGATTTCGGGACTCATTATTCTATTGTCGGTCGGTAAGGCCGCGATCGCGTATACGGCGATGCAATCTTCCTCACCTGTGGACCGATGGATCAAAGCTAGATGGCATGGAGTCCGTGGTGTCAAGAAGAGCCGATTACAATGTCTTTGCTATTTCTGAAGTAGGCTTTAATTTTTTTTTTTCTAAAATTTTAATACATTTACAATTTAGGTTACATGAGTGAGTATTCGATTTTGAAAAATCGATTCTTGGATATTTTCAAAGCCGAGATTAGGCATCTGTGTTGTGTGTTGCTTATGTTGTATCCTGTTGCGTTATTTTGATTTGTATGTGTCTGATTTCTTTTTGCTTTTGTTTGTTATTTTTCTTAAGAGAGGTTTATTTGTAGGTTTATGTGTTTCTGTGTGGTATTTTTATTTTTAATATAATTTCCTTAATTGGGGGAGACTAAAGAGTAACGGGAAACTTCTGATGCCATAATTACATTAAGATCTTTTGTATCTTGTTGCATGTCTTTTTTCAGTTTATGTTAGTATATTGTGTGTGTGTGTTGTATCAATTGAGGCCATCCACTTTTTTTCTAATCAAATTGTTGATTTGATGTTGCCCCATTGATAGGATTCAATATTATTATATTATTATTTATTAAGATAAGTCTGATATTCTATGATTTATTTGCAATATATTAATTTCAGTCCTTCTACAAAAGGAAGTTAACTGTACAATTTTGCTATCACAAATTCTCATATGTCCAAAAACAGGTGAGCTGTTTACTCTCGGGTTATGCGTGTCTCTATAAATTGTTCTGGGTCTATTCATTGGTCCTGTGGATATCTGATCAATTTATGTTGCTGCTTTCCAAACTGAGATTTTGGCTATATCTTGCAATGAACAGCATTACCATTTTGTGTTGTTCTATTCATTAGTTACATGAGTTTTGATGGAGGCCTACATAAAAATGATAAAAATAAAATAAAATGATCTTATTGTGGATAGATGCTATAATTTCAAATGTCCATTAACACTGAATATATATGTTTAGGGTTTAATGTTCCAAACCCCCCTGTATTATCATTAATTAGCGCGTTTCCCCCCTCTAATTCAAAAATTGCGTCAGTCCCCCTTCTATTAAGGTTTTGCATGCGCGAAACACCCTAAACCGTCTAAGATGACGGAAGTGCACAGCACGCGCGTGCTGTGCGGCTTTACCTTCGGTTTTTCACCCTAAAGTCGCGGAAGTTACTTTTTTACTCTTAAAATCAGCCATTTAAAAGGCTCACCTTCTTCCCGACCTCACACCCTAATCGCGCAGCTCACAGGAAGGAAGGTACGCATTCTTCATTTTTTTTATTTTTTTTTTCTTTCGGCCGAATTGCACAACACATTCATTTCACCCTCCAATTTTTTTTATTACTTCTTTCTCCTTCCTCACTGATGGGCGACGCACAGGAAAAATTTTGTTTTTTTTTTCTTACTTCACGCCTTCTTCATTTTTTTTATTTTATTTTTTCTTTAGGTCGAAAAAATACAACTCATTTGTTTTGTTTTTTACTTCACGCCTTCTTCAGACCAAAAAATACAACACATTTGTTTTTTAAATTTATTTTATAAATATTTTTTTAAATAAATTATACAACAGGTTTTGAAATATTTTTTTAATAAATATATATTTCCGTTTTTTTGTTATTTTTTATGTTTTTTTTTTTTTTTGGCAGGTTGAATATGTCTACTTCCCAAAAATCAAAGATGTCAAAGAATGAGAGTTTGGATCTAAGGTATAAGCACCCTAAGTGTGGTTGCAACACATTTGCTCGCATTCGGGTCGTTGGTCCTACAAAAGAAACTGTTGGCAAACTATTTTACAATTGCCCGTACAACAAATGTCGTTTCTTTGCTTGGCTTAAACCTGTCTCAGTGAATTGGGTGAAGTCAAATGAAATCCATGAAGATGAAGTTTGTTATGAAGACGATGATGATGAAGTACAGTCAACCGGAGCAAAGCTAACAAATGAAAATGTAGAGGTCGCAATAATGCTGAAGGAGGTGCAGTCAAAGATGGAGAAAATTGAGAAAAAATTTAGCAATGGATTGTTTTTTTTGGTTATTGTAATCCTTTTGGCTGTTATTGTTCTCAAGTAATTTTAGATGATAATTAATGTAATCATTTGGACAATGTATGCCTTTATTATCATCAATGAAATGCAGTAATTCAATATTCCAGCAACTCCACTCTCACCACATCTATCTCCAACAATGTAACATTCAAAACACTGTTATCACTACAATCAATAGCCACAAATAGCAAAAAAAACTATCATTGAAAACATTACTATCAATAGCCACAAATAATGTCAATAGCATTCAAAGCAATAGGGTCATCACCATAAATTATACTTCAATATCCATAAACACCATAATATTGTCATAACTGTCATCATCACACAAAGTCTAACCAACATACAAACACCAAAATATTGTCATAACTGTCATCATCACAAACACAAAGCATAACTGTCATCATCACAAACACAAAGTCTAACCATCATCACATCAAATAACACACCATGAAATCACCAATCACCACCATATTCCCTGTTTTGTTGAGTGAAGGTTTGAGGGCCAGAGCACTGAATAAAATCTTCAAAAGATGGCATGGAAGTCTCAAATGGCTGAGACGACTGAGACGGCTGAGATGGTTGTGGCTGTGGCTGAGATGGTTGTGGGTGTGGTTGTGGCTGAGATGGTTGTGGTTGTGGCTGAGATGGTTGTGGTTGTGGCTTAGATGGTTGTGGTTGTGGTTGTGGCCGAGATGCCTGCCCAAAAAAAAAAGCAAACAAAAACAAAACAAAATCATGTCACAGTGTTTAAAAAACACAAATATGATTGTTGAAATAATAATATTGGAAGTTGAAAAATTTTAAAAATTGACTGACCTGTTCACCTTCACCTCCGCTTTTGGGGCACCTTCTCTTATTGTGATTGTTTCCAACACATAAAGTGCATCTCTTGATAAGCCCCTTTCTGCTACTGTTTGTTGCCATATGTCTCATGTCATTAGCGTCAGCTCTTCTTTTCTTTGTTGGCCTACCCCTTTTTTTTCACAGAATCAGGCGGTTGAATTGGACCCATTCCAGACTCCTCATAATCATTCATCCCTGGAACTGGGAAGATCATATGGCTATACATCCTGATATACATGTCCTTTTTGAAAAAACCAGACACATAATCAGATACACTAGACCTATGATAAGAGATGCATGCCAGTGCGTGGCAGCAGGGGTAGCCAACCACTTGAAACATACCACATGTGCACCTTCTTGCTTCCAATTGGACTATATGGCTGCTTACTCCATGAACCACCTCAAACTTGTCTTCCCCAGCCCAAGTAGGGAAACAATTTCTACTGAATTCTCTTTGCTCTTCAATTTTTCTTACTGTATTAGGACAAATGTCCTCTCTTTATTTTTCTATTCCAGCTTTCTTCACCTGGATCCTTGCCATCAATCTTCTTCTGATCCACTCAAACATGTCCACAATAGCCATATCCATGGCTTCCAAAATGTAGTTGTTGAAGGACTCTGAAAGATTATTAACTATCACATCACACACTGCATTAAGAGAAAAGAAACACCTTGCCCAGTGTTCTTCAGGGACAGCCTTCAACCATTCAAATGGAGTTTCCTACAGCAAAGTACAAAATCTCATTATATTAATATAAATTGAGACAATGAGATGTTATTTAAAATCTCAAAGTACAAAATACCTACAGCAAAGTATTGTTCAAAGCATGAACACAAAACATTGTTCAAAGCATGAACACAAAGTAAAAAATACCTACTGTCCTTTTTAAAATAAAATACCTACACCAAATATACAGCAGGTTATTCAGAACAAAACCATGAAATGAACACACTCTTATATTCAGACCCAAAGGTATTCACATTACACAGTAGGTATGTAATGAGAAAATTACAACAGGTTTTTGTAAGGAGAAAAATAC